AGGTCGCCTCTCTTCAGAGGATGTAGAACTACCTCCCTGTGCAGGGGCAAAGATGGGAAGATAAGCTTTGGCTGTAGACAAATAGCCTTATGCAAGATGTGAGGATTTTATGAAACAGCAAGACATGTCTGAAAGGTAGGAGGGTGAAAGAAGAGAAGTAACTGCGGTCATTGCGCAGCTGGCTTGACATGCTTTGACAACTGAGATAGTGTTACAGGATTGAGTATCTTCGTAAAATGTACCGACCTGTATTGCTGATGGAGATTATTCTGCAGTGAAAACAGGAAGAAAAATGGGGTTTTTCTTCGTGTCATTGGCTGATTACTTTCAACAAAAATGTATGTGTTGTAAAAATGTGTGGAAGGCACATTGGTTGGGGTGTGGAGTTTGCATGGTTGCAAGTTAGATCCATGAAGACTTGCATGGAATGTTAGTAGATATACTAGAAATGCATAATTATGATGATAAGATGTAATTATGTTAATTATGTCTTTTGAGGGGGCAATTTTATGATGCACAAAAGAAGAGAATTGATGATACAGCTAACAGCAAGGATGCATTGTAGCCATAGCTTACAGGTGTGTTTGTCACTAAATTATGCTCAAAAGAACTGCTTCCAAAAGTTGCATAATGTCTCATAAAACTGCTATAAAAAAATAATTGAAACGTAATAGACCATGGAAACACTATGTCCAAGTCCTCTACTATGCTAAGTTCAGAGAGTTCTCATAATAGATGTTTGCATACAAGCAGCAGCTGCTACCTAGCAGTAAATTGTGTGCATTTTGAACAAAGCACAACCTGAATTCTGAGCTTGCTGTCTTTTAAATACCTATACAAATTGCGTTTGTAAGTTAACCCAGAAGTTCATTTCTGTTGATCAGCTTTGGTACATGCAATTGACTGAGACAACAGAAATAACTGGGTGTTTGTATCCTGCAAGCAAACAGGTATTTGTGCAAGTGGTTTGGACAGATCCACAAGCAGCTCTCTTAGCGCCTACGCAAAATCAGCAGCTCTGACCTAGTTATAAGAACTCTTCACTTTGGAGGATTTATCACCCTGTTCTTAGCTTGTTTGGGTGGGTTTCTTTCTTTTTCTTAAAGATGATCTTAAAATATTAAATTTGATTCAGTTTGTTTAGAGTGGTCCATGCTTTTCACTTCCATAGCAGCAGGACTGAAGGAGCTTGGAGCACTTTGCTGTTAAATAGCAATCCGAGCAGGCTTCTGCTGAGATCACCCGCACGGGAGCATGGGCCTTTGCATCATATATGTTCTGTGATTTGGTGGGATGTGAAGCTGTAGCGAGCAGCATAGGAATTCTGACTCTGAATATATGAAGAGGTAGTAAAAACAGCCCGACTACTTGTTCCCAGATCTTTTATCAAGGGCGTTTCAGATCCATGGGAAACAGACATGGTTCAGTGAAAGCTGAGCCTGCTCAAGGCTGCCGATTCATGAAAAGTAGCGGGGGATAAGACTACTGGAAGCTAGACCAGATCCCAAAACTGCTCAGAACACTGGGACAAAAGCCTTTCAAATACCAACTGCATGAGTTTGTTTACAACCTTCTTTATTTTTCCTCCTCTTCCACTGAGTTTTCCATCTGACATTTTCCATGAGGCAAAGCTGAACCTGTGCTGTGGAGTCTAAGATGTTTGTTTGTCGAGGCTGCTGGTTATATCAGGAGAAAGGAGTCTTTCAACTGACAGTCTTTTCTTAACAGCCAAATATCTAAAACAATACACTAGAGGAATGTTTTTGACTCAGAATTATCTTTCACTGGTGTAGTTCCAGAAGTAGCTTAGCTATAGCTCCTCGAAATATTTCATGGGGTTTTAATACATTCTACCCTTGAAGTCAGCTGGACTCAAATGTACTTGCACTGCAGTTGGAAAATTTGCAGCATTTTGTTGCCTGTGAAAATTTTGCCAAGATGTCAGTGGGAGGAGAAGCTGACCCATTTCACAGATACATGACTGACACTGACATCTTGATAAAGTGTGACTTTTATCAGTGAGCTCTGTAGGAGAGCATGATTTTCCAAGACATGGCCTGATATCTCATAAATCATGTTTTGAAAAATGCAGTAGCTGTTCAGTACTCATTCCTTCCAGTTTACAAAATATTTCAGACACTTAATTCCCCACTGGGACTTCCACTGAGGAAAATGCATAGAATACATTGGGTTGGTCATGAGTATTTTCACTTACCCCCACAGTCCGTGCTAATGCCATTCAGCTCATATGCAGTACTCTAGATGCTAGCAAAGAATTGCTTTGTACAACTTGCTTGTTTGTTTGTTTGTTTAATTATTTAGATGAAATGTCTATTTTATCTATTTCAATGATTCTGCATGAAACAGAATAGTTTCCTTGAGTTTTTTTGAAGTGATCAGTGCTTCTATCTCAAAGCAGCCTTCAGACACGTAAAGTGGGATCCTCCTCATCAAACTTCAGATGCCTTGAAGTTGTGTCCACTCTCAGGGAAGCCTGTGGGCTCCTCATGTAGACAGTGTGGACTGTGGTTCACTCCAGCTGAAACTACTAGGTGCAGAGGCTGGGTTGAGTAAGTGGGTATCTGGACATACCCGCTTCTCTCCACTGACAGTAGAGGGAGCCAAGAAAATTTGCTAAGCCTGGCTTTGCAGGCTGACGACTCCAGCTAGGTGGGAGAAATCATACTTTAACCAGATGCTGACTTGAGTATTCTGAAATTTTGCATGTGGATTTTATATCAGTGGCAAAGCTGTAGCCATGATACCAACAACTAGACTGAAGACCAGGCTCAGGAATTAGAAGTTGGTCACACACAGGATTTTTTTCCCTCCTTACCATTTTATGTTTCCTTTTCAACCCTCTTTTACAGGATTCTTAAAATATAGTCAAGTATCTCTGCTTAAAAGACATCTTATATACCCCACCCCCACCCCAAGAAGAGAGAGAATGGAGGAATACTATCGCCACAGAGGGTTTCCATTAGTGAAATTAATTCCTCTCTCATAGGAATTTAGGTTTATGATTTATGATAACCACTGATTTCTCACTGCAGGCAAAGTGAGAGGAAGTGACTCAGCCTAGACAGACATCATGAATCTAATTTTTTTCCCCCTAATGCTTGACATAAGCTAGTGTGCTGCTCCCAGAGGTGTCATTGGAGATTCATATCCAGCCAAAGGGCCTCGCAATGAAGGCAGAAAATGTTGTTACTTTCATGTATTGTGTGATCTGTAACTGTTTAGAACTGCATCCTGCCTCATTCATTGCCATTTCTTTTGCATCAATTTTGCAGCAAAGTAGTAAGGAAAGCAAAGCAAGGGAGAGAAAAGCAGTGTTGCACTTGCTCCTTCTGAAAAATCTTCTGTGACATAATCATGGGGTCCAGCTGGTGCTTGTTAAACTCAGGCAGTTTTGAGATGAAAAATGCTTTCTTCTGTCACTCATCTTATCTATCACATATTGATTCTGGAACTTTGTGTTTTATTTTCTATCACCGATACAGAATTTTGTGAGTGGGTTCCTGCGAAAAGATCAGAATAGATATCGTGTTAAATTGTCTGCTAAAATGTTTTATCCCATATTTCAAGGGACTAGGAGTGTATATTCATGTCTCAGCAGAGGTACCTAGCTGAGAGAAAGGCAGGTTTTGAAAAGTCTTGCAGTTACAAATAGTCATTTGAATACATCCTAACAAATCGCTTCCAAAACTGAGAAGAGAGTTACTACATATCTTTTTGGTACGACCTCATTTAACATACAACGAAGCAGAAGAAAAACAAATACCAAGATAGAGCTAAGCAAGAGTTCCCAGCACTTTTTTTTTCTTTTCTTTTTTTCATATAGACCAAATGTAAATCCCCTGTTTGCAGGGTGGCTGTGTGTGTGAGTGCCTGCTGATCTGTAGCAGCACACACACATGAAAATGGCCTGTTAGCCTGAAGATGACCTCCAAAAATGCCTAAGTAAATAGCTGTTATTTTCAGAAATACTGAGCTTGCTTAGCTTCCTATAAGTCACCTACAGTTTACTGTGGCTGTTTTGATCCTGTTAAAAAAACCCATAAAGCATGAAGGGAGGAGTAAACCATAAAGCATGAAGGGAGGGGTAGTTCCGTATGTCAGTACTGTTCTGTGCAGGCTGTGCGCACTGTCAGGCAAAAGCCAGGAAAGATGTAACATTGGGTTTTAATGATGTTTTAATAAAGGCAAAGCAATCTTGGTAAGGTCAACAGAATGCACCTCTTCATGATTATTTGTCAATAATCTGTTATCATAAGTTTTAACTGATGTTCCATTTAGACTGTCTGTTACACTCAATATGAAACTTTCATTACCATCCTCGCTAGACCATTTATAGGCTGCATTTTTATTCTTCATTTCTGCTTCTGACTATAATTGTTTTAATGATGCTTACTGACAGCTGATACTTTCTGGCAAGCTCTCACCAAACTTATACGGTAAAAGTCAAATTATAGTGCTGTGTGCACACACTTACTAAGTTAAAATTATTTTTTGAAGTATTCCATGGTAAATTTCTAAATTGCAGCTGCCAGTCTGCAAATTATTCAATCTCTCTGAAGCACAATTGGAGAAATTGCATCATTTGAGGTAAATAAAAAGTACTTTTGAACGTGTTCCTAGGCAATGAACTAGCAAAGCACAGAAGCACGTGACTTCAAGACTCTGTTGACCAAATTTCAACTCTTTTTTGGAGCCTTGACACTCTACTAAAACATACTCAAGGGATTAAAATAAATATGTGGTTGAGGTATCTTCATACAACCTGGATCCATAAAAACAGGGTGGTACAGGATAGAAGGGGATATACCATGGTGTTGAACATGTTCAGTTCTTAATTTTCTCCAAGATTTTTTTCTAAAAAACTGCCAGCAAGTTCCTCTTTCTAAAGTTTGAACATATCTGTGAAAGCCTCATATGTTTAAGTAAACAGTGCTTAGGTGAGAGGTGCTGTTGAGGGGCTGGAGAAGATTGCCCTACCTATGATTTTATCTCAGGATCGTGTGGCTATTGTCTGTTGGTAAGTTCTACCCCTTGCCACTCTGTATCTCCTGTTATTATAAAATAGTTTGTATTTCTCTGAACGGAATCGATTACTGATTTAACATATCCTCTCTAGTTCCTCAGGTCTGACTACAAGCAATCAAAAAACCTGTAAATCCTATTCATCCTGCTGCTCCATTCTAAGCGACACACACACTATTCCATCGGTGTTATCGCAAAACAGAGGATTCATCAGGCAGAACTGGGATTCTGGGCTACCTTCCCCAGTAAGTGTTTGGCTTACCAGCTTATTACATGTTTATAGAAGAGAGATGCTGACAAAGAGTAACTAAGGCTGAAATCTCCTCCTCAGCTTCAAAGCTGATTATGTTTTGCCTCCTTTTATCTTCCAAAGCTAGATCAGATTATAAATAAGATTATACGATGCAGTGTCAGCAGTGGCAAGGGATTTGCCTCAGTGCCGCAGGAAGGCTTTGAGCACTGTGTACAGACCCGGATGCAATGGGCAAGTATATAACAAACCCTGAAGAGGCTGCGTACTTTTGCTATAAAATGTCATAACCAGGAGTGCTATGAAAATCGACAGTACAGCTATTCTTTGAGAATACCTCCCTCTGGTATTTGAGCCAATCCGTAGAAGTAAACCAGAATGGGCTGTGATGAACTACCCCTAAACAGTGAATCACCACAGCATTTACCAGCTTCTGGAGGTGTGTATAGCTCAGCTCTAACTGGAGGGTATGAGTTAGAGGTGCGTGCTCCATCTCTTCTCCCCCCTGAACCCCATCATCATGGCTTCCACTGAAAGAAATGCTGGAATTTCAAGCAAATAACCAAGCTGCATTGTACTGAGAGGTTCCCCCACTGCAGGCAATCATGGTGCTCTGTCTGTTGAGCATGACACAAATCACACCTACTCTGTACACTACAGGCAGAGTTAGAGACTTCATTCCTTGCTTCCTCCTGGGAGACTGATGCCCTGGAAATTATAGAACACGTTTTAGTGGAAAAGCAAAATGGGCAGAAATCTCATATCCTGGACTGCAGTGGCAGATTTTCTGTATTTAGATTTCGTGCCTCTGTTGCATTCAGAATATATTGTATGAAATTTTGTCTGAAAGTGTGTTTACATGCATATGCATACACAAATGCATGCCATTATATCTTCGCTTCCATACATCATTTTGCTATTCACCAGATGGTATTAAGGCAGAAGAAATTGTAAATATGTATGACTATTCTACTGTAATAAGGCCAGAAATATGAGAAAATACAGTGCAAGAAACTGAAAAACCTTAACTGATTCTTTTGTATCTTTACTTTGCTGTTTTTAAGCTTCCTTCTGATTCCTTCAAGTATCTCGGCTGGGGTGACATAGACGACCATGATGTTCGAGGAAATCAGCTTCATTGTCCCCGAGTGAGAGAAGGTAGAGATCAAAAAGACATATTCACATTTAAGCCTTAACTCTATTTACTCAGACAGTATGTCCTTAAATGTTAGGAGATTAAACCACAAAGTTTGACATTGTTTTGAAAAGGGGCAGGATTTCATCCCATATTGTATATGTTTACTTTTTTTAATCACTAGGAAAATACTTGTCATGACTTTGAAAACAAAAGCCAGAACGGTAATTTGAAAATTTTTACTATTAATGTGGTGTTTATTACTTCTCTCAAAAGTTCATTAACTTTTAAATGTTGCTCAGAATGCAGTAGCCATATGCCAAACAAGAAGACAAGAATGAAATTGAGTCCTGCATACAGTGGTACATATAGTTTATTTTAAGACTGAATTGGTCCAATTACAGTCTATAGAAACAATCAAGAATGAGGAATAAAAGGCGGATTTTAAAATCCACTGTTTTCCTATTTGGAACTAAGCATTGGAAAAATTCCACCTGTCCTTGCTTTAGGTAGGAAGTTGAAGATGTGCATAGCTTTAAGCATTTCAGTAGACTCATTGACTTTAAGTCTTCAGCATGTGCTGTTCTTAATACAAATGAGGTTTGGAGTACAGCTATTGATCCCAGTTGCAGTTGCTGTCAGTGAACTGAAAGTTACAAACATATCCCCTTCTCAGGACAATTAAAGGATGAGAACAAAACCATCATATGAACTCATAGCATGTGAAAGAATACACAGAAACAGTATTTTAGAACTCAGATGCTTATGTTCAACTATTTAGAAAAAGCTTGTATTCTGAGCTGTAGCAGAAATGTCATTTACTAACCATGTACCAAATCATCATGACCTGAGATTACTTGCTGAATTGTGAGCCTAGAAATGGTAGAAAAATCTTCACATTAATTTACCTCTTGGAAGCCTGGAAACCTACACACCTATAATATTACATATATTTCTTCATTTCAGATATACTCCCAGACATATATATAATCTTTCAGGAAGTAACTAAGTGCCACTTCCCTATCTCATCCACTATTGTAAATCTTTTTTTTCTGACCAGGGCCCTCAGAAGAAGAGCTATTTTTCAGAGGAGAAGAACATACTTTGAAAAGAAGAAAACAAGTAACTGACGCAGAGAAGTGGCAAAAGAAACTGCAAGAGAACTGGGAAAACTGTGCTGTAAAACTTTCTCATTAACATTTTGTTCTGTGGTAGTAAATTAGGCAAATAATAATGTGCTGGTTCTCACTGCAGTTAGCAGTTTTAAAGCTCCAGCTGGCACCATAACATTGTAAACTGGAAGTTTTTTACAAGCTGGAAGAAACACTGGAATATACTGTTATTTGTGTTGTGATCCAAAAGAGTAAACTCCTGTGTTGTGACAGGGTTTCATTTGTGCTCAGGCATGTAAGAGAGCGTGACATTCTTTGCCCACTTAGTGCCTTCCTCAAAAATTGATAATAAATGAACAGTTACAGAATGGAGTAGTTTTCTTTCAGCTCTTTCACTCTCTCCTCATACCAGCCTGAGCAGTGTTTTTGGCTGGAGGTATTACATTATTGCTGGTTCTGACCTCCCTAAGATAAAGGAGGAAGCCAGGTAATAACTTAATCTAACGCTGAGACCCAGTGATCTTATGCGTCCCCCTATGCATAAATATGTGATACAGATTGTAGAATACAGATATCTGGCTGCTGCACAACAGCTTTATCCCAGATGAGTTTAGAAGCCAAACCAATGAGCCAGGATCACTGAGTCCTGCCTTCTCCACCCAGAACACACACACTGGTGTCCCCGCTCAAAGAGGAAGGAGGGGCTGGACAGTCAGATTCACATGCTTAAGAGATTGTTTCTTTCTTCTTCACTTTCAAAGAATTATGCAGTGATTCTAAGGCGAATTTGGCAATTGGCACCACCAATTGCTATAAGAGCAACATAATAATATAGATTCACCTTTTAACTAATTCTGACATTGAAAAGATTTAATTATATAGTTCTTAGAAAGCAAGGAAAAAAAAAAAAAACCCTAAGTGATTTCTCTTATTTTTCCCTTCCCAGGAGCTGAACCTTTCATTTCAGGATCTGGGTGATCTTTACCAGGTGGAAAACTTCAAAAGGATTCTCCAAAGATTAATTCGGGTGGAAAAACTTTGGTTGGTGGACAATTCTTTGACAGACCTAAGTGCCATAAGGTTGCCAAGGTAGACTATATGTCCTGTTTCTATTGTTATGCAATATCGTAGAAATAAAAGTTCTTATTTACTGAAGTAATAGCTGGAGCCGACTCTTGAGAACCACCAAAATTTGATATTTTGGGAGGCATTATATTGAGAATCCATCAGTATATTGTTATTCTGAGTTTGTGTCATCCCCAAGTTGAAAATATTCAGTGAGGAGATCAGATGATGTCCCCTTTATCCCTGGTGAATAATTAATAAGTCCCGTAAAGTTCAGTGATATTTGTGCCAAAAGGGAAAAGTGTTGAACACTTCAGGAATCTGGATGAAGCAATAGTGAACATCACCCAAGCAGAGAGGCACAGTGTGTCCATGCCAACTCTATTTTTACAATCCATCTATTGCTACTATGTTGATGTATGTCTATGGAAAGTTGTAATACTGAAAACAGGAATAATGATGTATCCCTTGTACAATATAAAGAAAGCTGAGGGTATAAAGTGTAGGGATCTGATCTTGTACTCCATGGGTAGGCAAAAATAGCACAAATGTAAAACCAGCGTGAAAGCAGGTCTCGAGGAATCAAATTCTTGTATCTCTCATTGGAAGCCCTAAGCTGCCATGACTTGGACTACATGAAGAGCTATCCCTGTGCTGGCTTACAGGTATATGCTATCACAGATGTGATTGGTGATGTCGTACACTTTGTACTTTACAGATGCAGAGAACTAAATGTCAATAAAAACCACTTTACATCCTTCAAACAGCTGCCAAAGATACCTCAGATTCAGCACTTATCACTCGCCGAAAATAACATTATGACGCTAAGTGGAATATCAGCCTTCAAACACACTCCACTTGAATCTCTTATACTCAAGAGGAATCCCTGTGAGTTTCAAGAAAGATACAGACAACTGTAAGTCTTACCATCTCATGGTCAACAAAAGTTGATCAACACAAAGAAATGTTTGTGAGCTTAGGATGGAAGGAATAGGATGTCACAAGGAATAGGATGTCAAATATGACACGCTCTCCCGAGCAATCTTTTTATTGTCCCATAGTCTTGACTATCACAAATGCTCCAGGAACACAGGCTGGTGAGCCAATATCTGATAATAGTGACAAAATATTCAGAAACTGCCTAGGAGGCTTTCTAATCACATGACTGGCAGTTCTTCAACTGAACTAAGTTCATGGATCAAGTTTAGAGAGAGTAAGTAGGGCAGATAAATTAGATTCCCTTTTATTAATAGAAACTACCTATTACTCAAACTCTCTTCAGTCTCATTGCGTCCCTCATGTATTCTGAGAGGAGTCTAAATTGCATTACATGTCAGAGCTGGAATCAGAAGGATGTGTTGAAAGATGTGAGCTAAAGCAAGAGAAAACTAAGTTACCTTCATTTGATTTTTCTGGATTCTTTGTTCTCTGTGGCAGCACAGTGGAAGCTGCACTGCCTTGACCACCCCACTCGGGGTAGGTATGCATTGCAGGCCGTGCAGTGTAGCGTAGATGTAGCAGAGCTGCCTCGGACACTGGAAACGAAAATTTGAATCTGAGATAAATAACTGAGGGGAAGGTAATTTATTCTCAGTCTCATGCATGTTTTGACACTCACACCCCTATTCCGTTCTTCCCCAGTTGTTTTGATTACAAAACCCTGTTGGAAGGAAAAAATGGCACACAGGTCAGAAAGGGGAATGAAGCATATTCCTTCTGAACCCCTCAGAAATCCGCATGGCTGCATGTTTTTCCCCCACTCCAGAGTCATGTCAACCATCTACAGAAGGCATTGTTGATATTTTTGAGATAATCCTTACAGCGTATGCCTAAGAAGTCATCTCTTCCTGGGAATGGAAAAAAAAGAAGTTTAAAAGAAAGCGTTTGATGAAAACCTTTCTGAGTTTCTAGTACGCTTTTTCCTTCAGTTTAGTAGGCATCCCTTTGACAGTGTGATGGTGATGCTTGTGCTGAAGGTAGACAGGCAGATGTCACAGTGAAAGTTAAAAAGTAAATTTAAAATAATGGATTTCACATTCTATTTGCATATGAAAAGGTCCAGGAGAACAAAAGCTGAAAAGCATCTTTAAACTATTACTAATTATGTTTGCCCTACCAGTTCTTAAAGCAATGAAATATTGGTATTACTCTTGTATTACTTTCACTGCCACTGTTGGAAGACAGAATGAATGATTTTCAAGCACAGATAAAGCCCTGAGTTACACGCTGAGATTGACCACTGGAGTCCATGCTCACCTCAAAAGTCACAGGAGCAAATACCATGGCACATGGGCTAACGCCCTGTGCGATGCTTACGGAGGGGCTCCAGCTCCATCAAACTCCTCTGAAGAAGAAAACAGCAGTCTTCACGGCTGAGGTTAGAGATACTGGTGTGCCATTTAAAAGGGACAGTATATTAGGAGGAGGAGCCATTCGTTTCGCCTTGGCATCATGCCCACAAAATAGGGACTTCTTTTCCTTGGGAGAAACAGAAGTGCAAAAGAGAGTTTGCAGAGAGCCTGGTTTCTCTATCGCAGAAAGATGAAAATTGAGTTGTACTTCTTGCAGTCTAAATCTTTGCTTTTCAGTAGTCTAGGACGTTCAGTCTAGGCTAACACTGTGTCCTCTTTTTTGCATTAGACAACTGGTTTGGTTCTACTCTATTAAAAATGTAGACACTTGCAGTGCTTTACTGAGTCTGAGGATATGAAACTTGTGCAACAGAGTGAAACCTGAAAATTTGTAATTAGCTCTTTATCTGATAAATTCTGCAGAAAATGACAAATCAAGATTTCCAACAAGACAAATCTATTCTGGATATGTTTGAATCCAGTATTTGTTTTTATTGGTGTCTGTTTTGTTCTCAAGATTTCCCAAAATTATTTATCTCAATTTCTATTTTTCTTTTGTCTCTCTTTAAGTGTATTCTCCAGTTTGCCAAATCTGAAAATGCTGGATGGCATCCCAAAACTGCCAGAGGACTGTTCACCCCCAGATACCAGTTTCTTTTTCAAAATGTGTACTATACTCTAGCACTGTATTTTTGTAGGATCACAGCTGTACTAGAACCACCTCACTTAAAAGATACAATAAATCCTGTGTATGGAAGTCACTGTTTTTTTCTGATCAAAGAGATATTGAAGCAGAACTGTAATTTTTTTGAACGCATTTGTGATACCACAGACTTCAAGTAAGTGTGGATAAATGATATGTAAATAAGACATAATGTGTACACTGGGTGTCATGAGTTCGGTGTATTAAAAACATTGGGTGACTTTCTTGTCTAGGACCTCTATGTAGACAACAACTCGCAATTATTGACTGCCATTGCATTTACTTAAAACATGTCCAGGTTCAGACCACATGTTCATTGTGCGAAATGGTACAGGGATTAACAGCCAGGCTGTGAAGAAAAGGAAGAAAAACCCATACCTGATAAAAGAACAGGCTATGCAGTTTCCTTTTTCATGTCCCACCAATTTCCTAGTGCTCTTTAATGCACTTTGTAGAGGGGAAAGGCAAAGCCACCCCAATCATTTTGACACTTTGAAATAAAAAAATAGTGCAAAAAAGTCCTCGCTTGGGAGTTTGGTATGGCTAGAGAGTACTGGGGAGGTAAATCTTGAAATAGGAAAGAAGTTTTTTGACTCATTGCTGGCATTGTTTAGGAATATCTCTTGCTTAACAGAGGTTCCTCAAACCACAGGCACAATGAAGGAAAAGAGCTATGGAAGTTCAAAAGGGATTTGTAAGGGCTCCCCAGGATGTCTGATTGCAGCTGTCTTGAAGAGGTATCTGCCCTTGTCTTTGATTCATTTGCCATTCAATTCTAGTTTTTTTTTTCCAGGCAGCTCATGCTGGCACACAAATAGCTGTGCCACTAATGGTTCAGGAAAAGAATGACAGAGTCCTGGAAAATGAAGACAATTAACAGAATCGCCTAATTCCAGAGACAGTCAATAAATTCTCTGCTGGTTATTGGCTGCCGGCAGGGTTTGGTTCAGCTACAGGAGGAGGAGTAATGACTGCTCAGCCCTGTAGAGCTCTGCAGTGCAATGACTTCTCTGGAGAAGATCGCAGCAGCTCTGTATGATGTCTGCATTGCATCTGGGCAGGAGAAATGGCCACCTTGAAAAGTTTCCAGGCTCTCCCCTAAGACTCTCCTTGCCTCTCCCACAGCCTAGCAGTCAAAATGCTTGATGAAACTATTGCATGAACTAGATCACAAGATTTTGAGTGTTTAACAGCATCTAGCTCAAAGTATTTTCTACAGCTGTGAAAGGAAAAAGACCATGGATCACTGCAAAGAGGTATCAGGTTGAGGGCTCACACATATGCTTGCAATTCATAGGAGCAGGCGAGTTCCTCCACAGTACTTTCATGCTCACAGGGCTTGATAACTAGATCCAGTCAGTGTAGGCCACCCCAGCAACGGGAACAGACCATGCTATGACAAACCTCTCCGTAAACATCCTACAGAGTCAAGAGGGTATAGTTCAACAACACACGGCAACAAGCTTTTACAGATTCAGAGAGAGATTATGTGGTTTACACAGAAAGAGCTTTGAAACAGGAAAAGCAGAATATTGTGTGCTGTACAGCATGGCAAACTGGTCCAGAGGAACGGGAATCTTTCACACGGGGATGATAAGAACAGAAGACCTGAAAGCTTGCTGAGGATTGAGGCTAGTAGTCTACCTCAGATCTAGAAATTAATCCAGTTATAGTATAGTACAGTAATCAGCATAAAACCCCACTGTTGTGTTTGGGAATGGAAAGCAGAAAAACAAAGGAGGAAACATAATCTTCTCAGCTGAAGATGTATGTGAGAAACCACCGTGTCCTCAGAAGCAGGGCAGGGACTAAAGCAGAGGGGGGACAGAGGCTGAAGGGCCGCCCTTACTGACCCAGCCAGAGACAGACGGCAGCGAGCAGCCGGACGCTGACTGCTGTGAGGCTGCGCGTCTGGAGACAGGGGAGTGAAACAGGCTTGTCCTGAGGCGTCAGACACTGACGAGCATTCAAATCAGCAATGTTCAAATCACAACAAAAAGCACTTGAGGACTAGGCTGTCTTCCCAGAATTTGGCGTTAGACAGTGAGAGCGAGATGGGAAACTGCTCCAGTCCCACAGGCAGATATTTCGGTTACAAGCTCCTACCAAAGCTACCACCCACTGCTTGCACATGTAATTAGGAGCTGGTCGATTCTCTCCTGGGAACACCCTCAGAGGCTTTGCTCTTCAGACTTGAGTCCTTGGTCGGTCACAAGAAAGAGGCACAGACACTGATGGATTCTTTCCGGACAGGAAGCTGGTTCTACTCTCATAATTTTTCCTTTCATTATTTTAATGGTCTGGCTTTGGAATCCCAGAGAAATATGAGGTAATATCTAGGGAGCCTCGCTGATTTTATTTAAAGTGCATCCAGGAGCAAGAATGTACTGATGATGTTTGAGTCACTTTGCTGCAATGAGATTTAAATGAGAGGTACACTATTAGCAATGTCACAGGGGAAACTGGGAGAAAAGAGCAGTTCGGTTCCAGCTGGTTGACTGGCCAACAGCCGTAAGACCGAGGGAGCACACTGGATACATTTCAACATTACCAGTCAACTAGAAACCCCAGCAGCAGGAACCTTTTGAAACTGGCCTCAAGTTCATGCCAAACTGGGGAATAAATTAATATACATTTCTAAGTTAGATCATTACTATCTAACTTTCTATTCCTGCCAAATTTACACTCAGCTTCATTCAAGAAAAAATGGGCCTCCGGCGAATTACTCTTGAGTTTTACTCACTTGCTTTTCCACAGTTATGTTATGGAGTGGTCTAATCTAAACCTAATCTATGACTTCAAGAAAATCTGGAAGGAATGGAACAACCGTAGAACCTTTATTTTGCTGGAGCTTTTGAGATTTCATCTATTGTGGCTGCACTCTGAAATCCAAAATAATGGCTACCACCTGTGAGCTCAGTATCAAAATATCACAAAATCAACTTCCAATTATTCACAAAGAATCCTTCAAACCTGACATTTGATGAAAATTTAGCAAAGTGTTCCCAAAGTCTTGCCTAAAATCATGGGACAGGTCCAGGGCTGACAGAGCTCAGAAGTGAGTTCCCAAGTCTCATTTTGACTGTCTCATCATTTCTCATTGTGTCTAAATTTCCCACTACAAAATAAAAAGTGAGCAATATGAAATCAAAAGACAGATTCCTTAAATGAACCCGAGAGAAAATAAGACTTTTCATTTCATCTGTTTATTATGGTCCTAGGAATTCCAGAGCAGTGTTTAAAACATCTGAAAATATTACAGTACATGGATCATGGAAGCAAACAAAGCTGTAACAGAAAAGGGATCATCAGCTACTGACGAGCATTTCAAAGACCCTTTGCTCATACACACTTCAGCCTCACAGAACACGAAGCACAAACACCCTATGTTCGTAGCAGTCCAAATTATTCACATCACTCGGGATGATGATGATGAAGGATATTGAGCCAATATCCTTCTCCAGGACTGTGCATTGCAGCACCAGTATTAGATGTGAATACAGTGAAGAGGAAAGCAGTGGCTCACCAGCCTAACTTGCAAAAATGTCTTCTTTTAGTTCCTTACTCCGAGCTTCAGCTGCTGAGGGAGTGCATCAGAGGCAAATCAGAGCTCATCAGTTAAGCCTGTAGTTCATCATTATGAATGTTAATGCAAATGGCTCAAGCCCAAATTTATACACCTATATGGAGTAAATAACTTGTCAACAATTCCCTAGAATGTAGCCTGGTGGTGCTGGAGCACAGAACAGTTGTAAGGACATCATAAGTGACTTCCTGAGGTCCTTGTCAACTCTCAGGTCACTGTGTCTGTAAGAAATTTGCCTGGCATGCACTTTGAAATACGCTGTGGGAGAGGACCTGGGTGACGTGGTAGGTCATGGTGCTTGCTGCATCATCATAAAGCACGGAACAGCTGGCATGGAGCACTGTGCTCTGACAGCTGGCTGGCGTCTCGCCGCATGGCAGGCTGTGCTTTGCCTGCTGCTGAAGACAGTCCAGCTCGTCCTCCATGGACTGGCTTGTGTGTTCCTGCAGCCAGGAAGGGCATTAGTTTTCTTTGCTTGGTCTGCCCTGGCTTCTGTTCATGCTATTCGTGTATTAGTGATGCCAGGACAGCGGTGCTTTCGTTGCTTGCTTATTCCCTCACTGAACACAAGTCACTACCAAAGTCCTTTCTGCGTTTAATTCAACAGCAAAACTTCCAGCAGAAGGAAGTCTTTCTTCCTTCCAAAGAAAGGAATGAAGGAAAGAAGGACAGGTGGAGGGACAGACCAACTACTCCCAAATCGGGGATCAGGTTACCAAAAAGGGCACAATGAGGCTGTTAACCTTTGAGAAGCAGAACATCAGATCAGAGTGTATTCATTTGTTTTACCATTTTCTTCCCGACTGACTAAAATCAAATACCTTCTGGTCTATGTAAGGCAGCTCTCGATCGCTGCCACTTAAGCTTTGCTGTCCGATAAAGAACCTTCAGCATTTTTGACAATTTCCTTGCTATCAGCACTAAAAGAAAAAATGAATTTAGTGAATATACTGACTGATGTTTTGATATATTTGGATACATGTATGACACACGCAGAGGCTCATTGCCAGGAAGCATGAGTGGAAATAAGTTACTAATATGTCCCAGAGCATTCATTTTTCATTTGTAATCTATCATCCAAGATACACTTGCTTTGGAATTGCCTGGTACCATGCTACATTATGTAATTGAAAGCACTGAAGATAAGGAAAGAAGGCCATTGACAACATATGCTTTGGATAAAAGCAGCTATAAAAATAAACGTAATGACCATAACAGGGATGAGACAAGCATGGACAACAACAAATTGGGAACGACCAGAAAGTTCATGAGTAGCCAAGCTACAGGAAATGGTGCAGTCAGCCTTGGGGAGTGAAATCCAAGCCAATGTTTTCTTTCCTTTTTCATACTGATATTTTATTTTTACTATGCATTAACTCGCTACGTTTCCCATTCCTACTCTACATACAGTCTGTTTTCTTTCTGCTAGATTGCTATAATTACTCTTTTTGACCTGAGTA